CATCATGCAAGATTTACGTGAAATAGCATAGTTTAAGGTTGATTTTCCTTCACCTTTCAAGTCTTGGRTCAGACTTGATAAAAAAGGAAGACTATAGTACAACTGGTTATGCTCATGTAGTGAGTTTACATCCTCCCTTAAGGTACTTGTAAACATTTTACTTTGAGGAATACTCCCCATTTAATAATATCCAGCATTCTCTAGGTAATCTTACAAATTRATAGGTCAATGTTCGAATTATTGTTCACAAGTCACTTACATATTAATTTTATTTGCATAACAATGCCTTTTTTTCTTTTTTTTYTTTTTTTCTATAGTGTTGATTCAATCATGCTTTTGGAAAATGGCTTTCAAATGACCAGTGTAGATGCAAGTGACAAGATGTTGAAACATGCTTTGAGGATCCGTTGGGAACGCCGTAAAGAAGAGGCCTTCGATAACTGGGGTATTACACTGCATTYCTGAAAATATTTTACTGTAAACAATTTCTCTCTTCTTGTAGAGGAAACAAGGTAATTTGTCAATGTTGATTATGGCTTTTTTTTCAGTTGTTGAAGAAGGAAACTGGCTTTCACTCCAGGATGCTGACATTGATGTCCCAGAAGGWGGTTTTGATGCCATYATATGTTTGGGAAACTCRTTTGCTCATTTGCCTGACTTTGTTGGTGACTTGAGTAGTCAACGCCTTGCTCTCACTAATTTCAAAGATCATTTGAAACCYGGTGGCTGTCTTTTTATTGACCACCGTAATTATGACGCTATCATCGACAGTGGCAAGGCTCCACAGAGAAATGTGTACTATAATGTGAGTGTAGTTCTATGGGGCCTTCTATTAATTTGTTATCTTTATCATGATTTTTCAATTAAWTAAATCCTTTCTCTAGGACCTTCTCAGATAGACTTAAATGTTTTGAACGAAAGAAACAGAAAWATTTCGAGAATTTTATCAAGCAATCTTTGGAAGACTGTGTCATTTGCGAAAACGCAAAAGCATTTGTGGGACAAGCTGGAAAAACRCAAGCGTTCGATTCCCATGCTTTCTTGATTTGTCGGAATCATGAGTTAGTTTGAATGGTCTGACTTTCAGTGTCTGAATGGGGGTCCTGAATTAATGGATTTTTTTGTATCTGTCAGAGTGAATGCATTGAAGACATCAAAACGTCTCTTCTGTATGTTGATGGTTGCCCTACAATGTTGACATTGGATTACACAATTGATCCTGGCAAAGCTTCTGCTGACTTCAATGAAGATGGGACTCCATTAGCTAAAAAGAAAAGAGTTTCCCAGCAAGATGTTAGGTATAAAAGTCTTTCTTTTTTATGCTTCCTTAGCTGTCATTCATACCACATAATAATGGATGGTTTCCAGGGGTGTCACTATCATATACTTAGCTGTCTGGCTGCATCATATTTGGTTGATAAAAAAAAGCTGGAAAAATCATTTTGCACTGTTTTTGAATTTAAAATAATAATTTGATCCAGAGTTCAAATCTCTTTGTAGCAAGTTCCGTCTTTCCTATTGCCCACACCGACTGGAACGCTTCACAACTCTACTGAAAGAAGTGTTTGGTGAAGATGCTAAACACACAGTCTATGGAGACTTGAAACCATTGGGAGAAGTAGAAACTCCTGCTTACTATGTCCACATGATTGAGAAATCTGAAGCATTGGGTGCCATGAATGGAGAACAGTAGTCCAAGAAAAAGATTTTGTTGTCAAATATTTTCAGTTATGTACAAGCTAGTTACTGTTATTTCACTGGAACATGTTTATGATCAACTTAATATTAACATACAGTATTAATATTCTTAGATTTTAGAGTGATTTTCTTTGGCCATGAAAGAATTAATTAAGAAGTTAGTAGACAATTAATTAACACATCAAATCTATAGTCTTTTTTGTTTGAACAGTAATCACTCTGTGAATAACCGTTAGGTAGTCGTGTTATCAATGTCTGAGCAAATGTACATAAATCTATCAAGTATTTTTTATGAGTGCATGTTTTCATGAAACATAAATTAATTAGCAAAAAAAACTATTAGAACTAAAGAAAACAAATTAATTCTCTCGTAGTACAAGATAAGCAATTGTTTCATGATTTTGCTGAACGTTTACGTTAACTAACCGTAAACTGTAAATAGTTGTCGCTCAAAGAAGAATTGTATAATGTCATCGAACATCATAAAGTCACACCAAAATGTCCTAAAAGAAAAAAAACAAAGCACTACGTAAAACAGAGGCAGACAATCATTGATATATACGTAAAACCGGACAAAATGACACCATTCCTGGAAAAAAGGATTATTTTGTCCAAATTTCATGGTTTTAGGCGATTCCTTCCCATCTGTAACACTGTGACGTCATAATGTAATAACCAAATGTTAAAATTACATAATTCAATATACCGAATGATATTAACCACTTATAGACCCCTTGCATGTGACGTCAAAGCAGCTTCATCTGGAGGACAAAACAAAAGATTTTTATCCTCTTGGGAACTAGAATCTATTGTTTTGTCCTCCAGTTGGAGCTGCATTCCCATGAACTGCAAGGGGTCTATAATTACATTTTCTGGAGTCAATTAAACGTTATAGATGTTTGTGACAAAGATGTGTAACAAAATAAAAGATACTTTATCTCAAAACTTACTGCGCTCTGAACATGCGGGAACTCTGAAAATGCGTAAACCCTTAGGGACTGTGCAATAATTACCAGGTGGGGGGGCTGTAAAACCAGAGGGGAGGGGCATTACATAAAATTGATGGCAAGATAGGAGGGGCTCAAAGTAAAATTAACAGAGGGGGGCTTTAAGTTTAATTTTTTTTTAATTTTCATAATTTTCGATGTTTCTCAAAACGCTGGAAATCGCATTTCCAAGAGTTATTTATTTCAAAATTTTCTTCGTGAGGTCCAGACTCCCTTAATACTGATCCCGCCCTTGGCGGTCGTTAGACCCCCCAGATCTAAAATATGTGTCGCGGTCCCTGACATGTGCATAAAAAGTCCACGCTTCGCGCATGACTAACGGAAATCTAAATTCAAAGACTCGTTGATGTGGGATTGAAATTGACCMARG